TCTTTCCTATGATGGAATAGAATTCCTTCCAGATTCTATTACTCAATTAAAAAGTTTGGAAATACTTCTCCTTTGTTTTTGTTATAAATTAAAAGAATTGCCCAGAGATACTAAAAAATTGATCAACCTTAAGCATCTTGATATGAAGAGATGAAGTAGTTTGACTCATATGCCAAAAGGATTAGGTGAGTTGAGTAATATTCAAACTTTGAATTTATTTGTATTAGGAAAGGGAGAGGATAATGGTGGTGGGTTAAGTGAGTTGAATGGACTAAACAAGTTAAGGGGAYCATTACTTATCGAAGGATTGCAATTTTGTTTAACTGTTGATCTACAAAAGAACGCTAAGTTGTTGCAGCTAAAATCGGGTCTTCAAGAGCTAATGTTAGATTGGAAGTGGGAGGACGATTCATTTAAGGAGTCTACAATCAATTCCTTGGACGATGACTACGAAAGGGTTTTAGAATGCTTACAGCCACATCCAAATCTTCGAAAGATATGCATAAAGGGATACAGAGGAGTGAAGTTATGTAATTGGCTATCATCTTCCTCTTATTCCTTTGGTGATTTGATCAGCATGGAACTTTCATCCTGTAAAAGATTGCAGCATCTCCCTCAATTTGAGCAATTTCCCAATCTCAAGGACCTTCATCTTGAAGACTTGCCCAGTATCGAGCACATGGTGAACAATGATTATCCTTGTTCATCAACTTTGTTTCCATCCCTTGAGGAATTAAGGCTTTCAGGAATGCCTAAGTTGAAGAGATGGTGGAAGAAGGGTACAAAATCTGCTCAAAACTCTGTCTTGTTTCCAATCACATTTCCTTGCCTTTCTATATTAGAAATTTGGAGATGTCCTCTGCTTGCTTCGGTTACATGTGATGCTGCACCTTCCAAGGCATTGGAAATAAATGATGAATTTGATGTTGTCATTGATTCGGATAATGAATTAGATGTTCAAGTATCATGGAAAAGTTTTCAAACTCTATCATGTTTAGACCTTCGCTATATTGACGATTGCGAGTTTTTGTCAAACTGTTTGCAACATGTGACAACTCTTCAACAGTTGTCTATAAAATACTGTTCAAATTTAATGAGTCTACCAGAATCGATCGGCAACCTCACATCACTCTTCGCATTGAGCATCAACGATTGTCCAAATTTAATGAGTCTACCAGAATCGATTTGCAACCTTACCTCACTCAAAGAATTGTATATTTATGGTTGTCCAAAGCTAACTTCACTACCGGAAGGGATTCGGCAGCTCCAGTGTTTAAACTCATTGTAAATTCGGAGGTGAAGGTGCAAGAAACAAATAGGTGAAGATTGCTTAAAATCGCACATATCCATTATTGAATGATTCTACAAATTCCTCATCAGGTATGCAATTCAATTTTCTGAAGTTATTTTTATTATATCTCACGTCTTTGAAACCTAATAATTTCCTCCATCAAACTTTGGATTTTAACCCTCACTTCAATTTTGTTATCTTCTTTTGTCTTTCCTACAGCCATTACAATTTACCACTGTAAAACCACTAATACCATCGCCACCAGAACAGAGGGGATGCGCCATGCCATGATCTTGAGCCTATTCAAGCCAACAATTCCACACCATTTATCCAAAAACTCATCTTTGAAAAATTCACAATTTGCTGCTGAATATAGACGAGAGATAGAAAGCCAAGAATTGGAGGTATCTCCTCATTTTTTAATAGTAATGCAGTGACTTTACATTATGGTTTGATAGAGATAGCAAAGGAAGAACATGAAGAGAGAATACTGTTACTTTTAATTTATTCTGGATGTGTCTGATGCAATGCTTAAACTGCAAAGATGGGTCTTTCTTTAGCATTTGTTTTCCAGCTCTGTAAGCTGTTTGCTTTCCTTCCCTTTTTGTTTTATATTGAGTTTTCTTTTTCATATTCTTTAATTAGAGTAACTCTCAGCTTTACAAAGATCATACACCAATAAATATTTATTTGGCTGATTTCATGAGCAGAAGCCTAGCCCGGAAGCTGGAAACAGATTCAAGGTCTGATGATAATAATCAAACACACAGAATGGGAAATGATAACTGCTTTGAATCTCCAGTAATATTTCCTTACCTATCTGAATTAATTAAAGATTTCTGGTTGTCCTCTATGTATATCGATTCCATGGAATGCAACTAATTTGAAGTCATTGGAAATTGATGATTTAGAGATTGGACAGGAGAATGAATTTGATCTATTTGTTGGTGAATCTATAAGTCTTCTTCAGTTCAGGTATGCAAACCAATTTTCTCTCCAAATTGTTTGTTTATTCTAAGGCTAAGAACTTGTGCAAAAAGGTAGTTGGGATTTGATAATTTTTGGTTTGGTGGTGTTGATTGTCTGATTGTAGATCAATCTCTAATGCTGAAGCCAAGCACAAAGCTTACAAACAGATTCATAAAGTTTGAGAGCAGCCAAGAACAAAATGGGTAATGGTATAATTGCTTTCTTCTGCGCATCCTTTTTTTTTATTTTCTAGTAAAATAATCTACCAATGTGGGATTTAATTTTTTTTTTTTTTGCTTTGGTGTTCATTGTACTCTTGTAGTGTAATCTCTACTATTGAAACTGAAGGATTCAGTTGGTTTTATGAATCTTATCAATTCTTTGCAATTGCTTCTAAGCAAAGGGGGAAGACATCCTGCTATATAACAGATGGAGGTGGAGAAAGCAAAGGGAAACGATGGTCTGCAACTTTTAAGAGATTTTTCCATTTTCTCTCTGTATAATATTGTCTCCAAGATATTTATCTTTATATATGTATGGTGTGYATCTCACGTTGTGACTAGAGGGAACTTTGTGTCCCTATTATYGTTGATAGTGAAGATTTTGACTACGGTCATGTGGTTTTTTACTCATCACTTGGGGATGTTTTTCCACGTTAAAATTGTCGGCATACTGTATTTGTTTATTATTGTTTTSTGCATGCTTAATTTCTAGTAGATTCATAACTTATCACGAGCCAAACTTGTTTAGCCCATGAATGAGGTCTAATTAATGGTTAATGAAGATATGTTTGATTGCAAAAAACTCAAAAAATTGATATGCAAAATCTAGCTATTTGTAATTAGCATACACAATCKTAGGTAGTAAATGGTGAATCAAGGTCGATCATGCAAATTTATGCACAAATTCAGCATTATATAACTCAGCAAAAACTTACAAATTAAAAAAAAAAAAACCAGCTATAAAATTGTTTTTGTTTGAATCGTATGAGTTTCATACTAATATATATTTTATAATTCATTATACACATATGAGAATATTTTTTTCTACAAATCATAAAGTAAAAATTTTCAAATACCTTTTAAAATTTAAGGTGRAGATTGTAGTACTTATCAAATTAAATTTCTAAGTTAAARWTTGGGCAATCGGACTAAATAGCCTTTTTCAAATGYCCATTATGAAATGTGGCCCCTCTCATTTATCAAATTAAATTTCAAGTAAAAATTTTGATGTTTGGTAAACATTTGCTGACATCAATTTTTTCATTTTTTCTCCCATCTATTACTTTCTCCTCCCTTTCTCCCTCCTCTCTCATATCGTTACAAATTCTCTCGAAAAAGTCAACCAACTTTCTCTCTCTTATTTACCCACCATAAAAAAAACCCTAAATATTTATTGCTATCTTCCTCATTTATCACTTCTACGCTGCCTCTTCCCATTCCCATTCTTTTTTCTTCACCTTCTTTGAAAAACAAGCAACAAGCTCCATTTACGATTTTTTTCCGATGAGAGACATACGTCGAGAGCAGCGACAGGAGCGATAGCCTTTTTTTGTGGGTTCTGTTTGTTTGTTTGTTTTTTTTTATGTGGGAGGTTTGTGTGAACTCTTTGTTCTTGGTGTTCTTTGTTTGAGTTTTTACCTTTTAGTTGTGACCCGTTCTTTTGTGTGTTGTGTATTTGTTATTTTGTTTTTTCAATTTTTAGCTCTAACAATGGAGTCAAGCAAGATTGAGAGGAGATGAATGAAAAATAAAGGAAAAGAGAGGAGAGAGAAAAGTGCATGCCTTCAAAATTAAAACAAAAAAATCCAAAATTAAAGGAAAACAAAAAATCGAATGAGATGTGGTNAGAGAGAGAGGAGAGAGAGAGGAGAGAGAAAAATGCATGCCTTCAAAATCAAAACAAAAAAAATCCAAAATCAAACGAAAACAAAAAATCGAATGGGATGTGGTGTAGAAAAAAATGGAAGAAAGAGGGAGGGAGAGGGACGAGTGCACGTCCTTGAAAAATCTGATAGTGAAAAAAAAATCAAATCAAACGATCTACAGAGAAACGGAGGAATGAATAAGAGAGAGAAAGAGAGTTGAGAGGGGGAGAAAAGAGTAGAGAAAATGAGAGATAAGATAACAACAATAGGTAATTTGTAATTTCACGCGTAAGCAAATGGTTAGTAAACCTAAAATTTGGAATTGGTGATACATTTCATAGTTGGCATTTGAAAAAGGTTTTTCAGTCCAATTTTCCTTAAAAATTGATKTCTCTTAGCAAGTTTAGGATCGTTTCCCCGGAAATATAATTAAAATGCTAGTCTATCATATCTTATCATTATATGGATACAAAACAAATCAAATTCAAATAACTTAATTTAAGATAAATTTAATTCCAATAACATAACCAGCTTGAAAGTGAGATTAGGACACTTCAAATATGTCCATAAAAAGAAAAAAAAATATCTTAAAATTTTCCTTTTAATTTCTTAAGATGCTTTCTTGGTAGTGCTAATTACCAAGCAAACGACAATGATTCTTTTTTCTTTTTTGGGAATTGATTCGTAACTTTCACTTTAAGATTTTATTTATTCGTATGAAGAGGTGTTGCTAAAAACGAGAAGAAATTGTTTGCCTCTGAATCTTTCTTTAGTATATGTTATTTGAATTGCTTCCAATTTGGTCGGTTAGGGATGATAGGTAGGAATCGAAAGAAAGAAAGAAAGTAAGCAAAGAACAGAATAATAGTTACAGTAATTTGGTGTTATCTATCATCCTTTGCAATTGGATTGGAGAGGTACACTATAAATAATAATAAATATTGGCTCAACCTCACCTCACTTGATTCATCACCATACCTCTGTTATTTGTGAAGCCTTCCTCCGACTAAACTCATTTTTCATCCATGGCGGAATCTATTCTCTTCGACCTTGCAGGAAACATTATAACAAATTTGGCGTCTTTTGCACGCCAAGAGCTTGCATTGCTCTGCGGCGTCCCTGATGAGCTTGACAAACTTGAAGACRCGCTTTCTGATATTCAAGCCGTGATTTTGGATGCAGAGGAGCAGCAGTACAAGCGCCATGCAGKCAAACATTGGATTTCAAAGCTTAAAGATGCTCTCTACGACATTTATGACCTGTTTGATGAGATCTCTTATGAAGCCTTGAGAAGACAAGCTACGTCCAAGAATAATAGAGGAAAGCTCTGCAACCAGGTACGCATGTTCTTCTCCGAATCAAATCCAATTGCTTTCGCTCTCAAAACTGGTCACAAAATCAAGGAAATTAGGGAGAATCTAAAGGCTATTGATACTGATAAAACCCAATTTAACTTCTCTGAGCGTGTGAGTAATACGACAAATGATGGGCTGAGGATTTCACGGGAGGATGCCTCTCTTATACTTGAAGAGGAAGTGATTGGTAGGAATGATGACAAGAAAGCAATTATAAATCTTCTATTAAAACCCAACACAGAAGAGGATATTGCAGTAATTTCAATAGTTGGAACGGGAGGATTAGGAAAGACTGCTCTTGCTCAATCTGTCTATAATGATAACATGATGGACAAACATTTTAAGAAGAAGTTTTGGGTGTGCGTTTCTGACGAATTTGAATTAAAAGTTATGATCGAAAAAATGATAGAGTCTGCAACTGGGAAGAGACCTGACTCGTTCCTTCAAATGGATTCCTCGCAAAGTGAACTTAGAAAGCTAATTGATGGAAAGAAATATTTGCTCATCATGGATGACGTGTGGAATGAGGATTATGAGAAATGGGTTACTTTGAGAAGATTGTTAATATGTGGTGCAAAGGGGAGTAGAATTTTGATCACAACACGTAGTGAAAAAGTTGCAAAAACTTTTGACACATCTTCGCTGTATTCTTTAGAAAAGTTGGATGAGTACCACTCCTGGTTATTGTTTAAGAAAATGGCATTCTTGAAAGGATCGGAAGAACAGGATACCGAGAATTCAAATTTGGTCCAAATTGGTAAGGAGATTGTGGCAAAGTTAAAAGGTGTTCCTCTTGCAATAAGAACTATAGGACGACTTCTATGTTATAATAAAAAATCAAATTTTTGGTCGTCTTTCAAGGATAAGGAACTTTACCAAATTATAGAAGAAGAAAGTGTGAAAAAGATGTTATCAATACTTAAGCTGAGTTATAACTCCCTCCCGTCTAATTTGAAGCAATGTTTTCTATATTGTGCTTTGTTTCCTAAAGATTATAAGATTCGAAAGGAAGAAATAGTACTGCAATGGATAGCACAAGGTTTCGTTCAATCAAATGATGGAGTTAAGGCACTTGATGCTGGTGAGGATTATTTTATGAAGTTATTATCAATGTCCTTCTTTCAAGATGTTAGAAAAAATGACGTGGGAGACATAATAACATGTAAGATGCATGATTTGATGCATGATCTTGCTTGTTCGATAGTAGAAAATAATGAAATCATCGTCCATGACGTGAATGCTCGCACGCTCAATAAAAGAACTCATCACGTTTCATTTGTCTTATTGTCGGGGAAAGAATTGGAAAAACTTCCAAAAACATTATCTAAGGCAAGAAATTTGAGGACATGTTTTTTGCAATATAATCAAGTCGGTCGTAGGGATGACATGCTCGGAAAAAGAAAAATCAATAAAGTCTTTGGAAGTGTCTTTTATAATCTTTTGAGATTACGAACATTGGACTTGCACTTGAGTATTGACAACCATAATGTCAAGTTTCTTAAATGTATTAGCAAGTTGAAATATTTGAGATATCTAAAAATTAAGATGATTGAAACTACTGAATACTTTCCAAATTCTATTACTGGGTTGTACAGTTTGGAAGTATTTATCCTCGAATGTAAAGGGTTAAAAGAATTACCGAGAGACATCAAAAATTGGAACAAACTTAAGCATCTCTATCTTGATGGGAATGAGAATGTTTGGCACAGACAAGATACGTATCATTATGGGAATGAGAATGTAGAATTCCTGCCGAGTTCTACTGTTGTGTTGAATAATTTGGAGACACTTGTCCTTCAAAATTTTAACAACTTGAAAGAATTCCCGGAAGATATTAAAAATTTGACCAACCTTACACATCTTGTTATGAGGGGGAATAAGAATATAGAATACCTTCCGAATTCTATGAGTGAGTTGAATAATTTGAAATCACTTATCCTGACGAGGTTTGAAAAGGTAAGAGAATTGCCGCAAGATATCAAAAATTTGATCCACCTTCAACATCTTGATCTTCAATGGAATAGAAATGTTGAATTTCTCCCGAATTCTATTACTGAGTTGTGTGAATTGGAAACAATTATCCTTAAAGGTTGTACAAAATTAAAAGAATTGCCGAGAGATGTCAAAAATTGGATCAATCTTAGGCATCTTGATCTTTCAGGTAGTGGCGTAGAATTCCTTCCAGATTCTATTACCCATTCAAATAATTTGGAAACACTTCTCCTACGTTATTGTGAAAAATTAAAAGAATTGCCGGGAGATACTAAAAAGTTGATCAACCTTAAGCATCTTGATTTGAGTGGATGTAGGGCTTTGACTCATATGCCAAAAGGACTGGGTGAGCTGACTAATCTTCAAACATTGAATTTATTTATATTAGGAAAGGGAGAGAATAATGGAGGTGGATTAAGCGAGTTGAATGGACTTAACAAGTTAAGGGGATCATTAATTATCAAAGGATTGCAATTTTGCTCAGCTGTTGATCTACAAACGAATGCTAAGTTGTTGCAGCTCAAGTCGGGTCTTCAACAGTTAATGTTGGAGTGGAAGTGGGACAAGGATTCGTTTAATGAGCCTACAGTGGGTGCTTTGGACGGTGAATACGAAAGAGTTTTAGAATGCTTACAGCCACATTCAAATCTTCCAGAGATACATATCAATGGATATAGAGGAGTGAAGTTATGTAATTGGCTATCATCTTCCTCTTATTCCTTTGATGGTCTGGTCCGCATGACAGTTTCATCTTGTGAAAGATTGCAGCATCTCCCTCGATTTGAGCAATTTCCTAATCTCAAGCACCTTCATCTTAGAGACTTACCCTGTGTTAGGCACATGGTCAACAACGATTATCCTTCTTCACCAACTTTGTTTCAATCCCCTGAGGTTTTAGTTGTTTCAGACATGCCTAACTTGAAGAGAGGGTGGAAGAAGGGTACAAAATCTGCTCAAAACGGTGTCTTGTTTCCAATAATATTTCCTTGCCTTTCTGAATTATGCATTTGGAAATGTCCTCTGCTTGCTTCGTCGGTTACATGTGATGCACCTCTGGATCCTTTGTCCATTTCCGAATCGGAGTTTTTGTCAAATTGTTTACGACATGTCACAACTCTTCAACATCTCTCTATAAGAGAATGTCCAAATTTAACGAGTCTACCAAAATTGACCGACAACCTCACATCACTTTCAGAATTGGACATCAGGGATTGTCCAAATTTAATGAGTCTACCAGAACCGATTGAAAAGCTTACTTCACTTACAAAATTGTATATTGAACGTTGTCCAAAGCTAACTTCATTACCCGAAGGGATTCGGCAGCTCCAGTGTTTAAAATCATTGCAAATTCGGCGCTGTCCCATATTGAATGAAAGGTGCGAGAGGCAAACAGGTGAAGATTGGTTTAAAATCGCACATATCCCCGACGTTTTAAGTATGAAATGATGCTACAAATCCTCATGATCACTTCAGGTATGCAAATCAATTTTCTATCGTTATTTTTATTATATGTTTTTGAAACCTAATAATTTCCTCCATCAAAATTTAGATTTTAACCCTCACCTCAATTCATTATCTTCTTTTGTCTTTCTACATCCATTAGATTACAACATCGTCCTATGCCACTCAGAAGAACAAAAACTTGTAAACAGATTCAAAAAGTTTGAGAACAGCCAACCAGGTAACGATATAATTGGTTTCTTCTGCTCATCTTTTTTTCTTTTTTCTACTCAAATAATCTACCAATTTGGGATTTAATAATTTTCTGGATTTTGTGTTCATTCTACACTCAGTAGTTTAACCTCTACTACTTGAAACTGAAGGATTGAGTTCGTTCTTTGAATCTTATCAATTCTTCTCACTTGTTTCTAAACAGAGGGGGGAGAAGACCATCTGCTATATAACAGATGGAGGTGGAGAAAGTAAAGGAAAGAAATTACCCAAAGTGACATGAGTGGATGAGAAGATGGTTTGGTGTCTCTTTTAAGAGATTTTTCTTTTTTTCTCGGTGTTTATCTTGATATATATTTGTCGTGTGTATCTCTGGTTATGGCTAGAGAGAACTTTTGTGTCCTTGTTACTGTTGATAGAGAAGATTTTGACTACGGTCACGTGGTTTTTTACTCCTCAATTAGGGGAGGTTTTTCCACGTTAAAATTGTTGGTGTACTGTATTTGTTTATATTTTTTTCTACTTGCTTAATTCATAGTAGATGCACACGAGAAGAGAAAACTGATAAGGAGCCAAACTTGTTTAACCCATCAATGAGTTCTAATGAATGGTTAAAAGAAGATATGTTTGATTTCGAAAAATCAAAAAAATTGATGCGCAAAAACTCGCTACGCAATTAGAATACATAATCATAGGAAGTAATTGGTGAATCAAGATCGATCACACAATGGCTAATTAATGCAAATTTGATGTAATTGAGATTCAAACAAATGCTAATTCATGCAATAAAGCTATCAAAAATTAACAAATTGCAAGCTCGACATAAGGAAATTAAATTCTACATGATAGTGTGATACTACAGGAACAACAAGTGATTTGACCCTTATTCTTTATTTGCCTCAAAATGGGAGGTCTTTATGGAAATGGGCTCTACTAATAAGGATTGCTCTAACTGCTACTGATAATGAATGTTTACCATTTTTGGTCTGTCTCCATTACTGGATATCTAATGCCGTAGAAAGAAGATAAGACGCGAGGGAGTGTTTGTATTTTACATGCAAGTAAATGTGAACGAGTGAGTAACTAGAGATGGGGCGGCATGCAGCAGCCACTTCTCTTCGTTTCTCGTGGCGTTCTAGATCAAGAAGATAAGTTGCTTTCTAATTTAGTATGGTTGATGATTCATTTTTGATTCAGTAATATGCAGACATGGCCGTCGCCAATGATAAGAAAAAAAAAAAGACCCCCTCTAGAATGGTTGAAATACAAACTTCAGCATTATAATCTAACAATCGAGCATTTTGTAATTCTCATCCAACCTGGGACGATGGAAGGATTTACATGACAGATCTAAATAAAAATGCAGTAATTGCACATATGCAACAATTAAAATGTTCATCTTGTTTGTCGCCGACCTCTTCTACCTCTAAAATGGGAATCCCCTCCTCGACCAAAAGATTTCCCTCCCTGGCTTGAAGATGAGTCCGGGTTGAATTGCGGTGGTGCTCCGTTTCCAGAAAATGCACCAGATGGGTGCGAGTTGGCTGGATTGAATTGCTGTGTTGCTTCCATGCTTCCAGGGATGGCAAGGGGGGAAGGAGGCTGCAGCAAGTTTTGATTCTGTCCAAACTGTAGGCCACCAGAATGGATTCCTTGTGCCCCGACACTTGTCAAAGGATTTGGTAGACCGGGTGATGTACCTATGAGCCCCTGTGGGTATGCCACTCCTCCAAAGGTATTCATCATAGGCATTTGAGGCACTTGCTGAGTAGGGTGATTCTGTAAAAGCCATGGCATACCATTCATTGGAAGGGCGTTGGGAAAGAATGGATTCTGCTGCTGCTGAAGCTGAAATGGCATTTCAGTTGGCCTAATGCCATTTATTGCTGGGGTAAAGCAGGGGTTGTACGTTGGTGGAAAGGGTGGAATAACACCACCTCCATTGATAAAACATTGCCCTGCCGCTGAAGGGTTCGGACAACCACCGTGATAAAATGGAGCAAAAGGAGGGCCATTGTGCTGGTTGTGATTGGAAGATGGCTGAATCATATCCATCTTTGCTTCCTGGGTTGTGTGCTGATCAAATTTGCTGCCCTCAGGCATCATTGCTTGCTGGGGTGTGGGCTGACCATAATTTCTGGGCTCATCGGGTATCTTTTCGTTCTGATACGTACGCTGATCGAATTTCCTGGCTTGACTAGAGTTTTTCTTCTTTCTAGTGTTGTTTCCGTTCCCATTTTTCTGGTTGTTATTCATAGACCTCTTAGCCAACCTCTGCATTTTCTTGAACTCGAGCTCTTTCTCATCATCTGAAAACTCTTCATCGTCTAACACCTCTTCATCATTCACTCCAGATGCATCGTACCCCTTCTTGTATAGGTCTTTGTTGTTGAGCACATAATCAGCAAACTCCAGAACAAAAGAGACGTGAGTGCCTCCACAAATCCCTGTAGGAACTTCACTTTCAGAATTGTATCTTACGGAATAATAAGGATTTTTTACTGGTCCAAAAATTTCATCTACCAACCCCAATGGAGATCTAAGTTCAGTTATCCAGAGGATAGAGCCTTCATTAAGAGGATTGTGCTTCTCAACACCCTCTACAATGACTTGACTGCCAATTATCTGACAAGTAGAAACAGAACATAGAATTTAATATTTATCTAAAAAAACCCGCTTCTTATAGATTATTTAGCTTCATTAAGAGCAAGGAAAACCATGTAATGGGCAGACATAGAAGAATTGGAGCATTATTTGTCGTATGATTCTAATAAAATGAAGGAGCTTACTGACAAAACAACTCCAACAGGAAGAATCTGGTGGTGTGGCTGTAGTGTGGCATACACCTGAGGAACTGGAGGAAGAACCTGCAAACAAGCCAAAAATGAAGCAATACAATAATACTGATTACTAATCAACCATCCAATCCAGCCTCCATCCGTTTACTCAAAGTGCAAAAGACTACCAGCAAGCATCAAGGATGAAAACAAAAAAACGGACCTTAAGCTCATTTTTAGAACTAATTGGCCCTCCTACAGCACCAGCCTCTTCATCATCATCAATGTCCAGGTCCTCACCATCACCACCATCCCACGCAACCATTTGATCTGCAGAAGCCTCTTCGTCTTCAATGTCAATGTCCCTTATCTCACCTTCTTCGAGTTCACCGATTTCTCCACGTCCCTCTGCTTTCACAGTGAACTCATTCTCCTCTTCTTCTTCATCGCAACTACTGTTGCCACTACTAGAAGATGATGCATTTTCTTCCTCGTCATCTTTTTCATCATTGCTGTCTCTGCCATGGCTACTGCTACTGGATGTTGTAGCTGAACTTGTGCCCTCAGACTCAACATCACTTTCAATGTCATCCTTTTGACACTCTAAATCAATGTTCCCGGTGCTTCCACTTCCAGTAACCAAACTAACCTTTGATATCCCTTCCTCGATTATGTAATTCAAATCCCTAGACTTATCAGAAGCCTCAACACTCGCCTGCACAACTGGCTCAGACCTGACAAGAAACAATTTTAGGGTAAGTGCAGTCACACCAATCGAGGCTCAAGAGATGTGATCTGATTAGGTTATTGTCAAGAATAAATAGTACACTTGAAGAAAGAGCATCACGTGGGAAAGAAACCTTAGAGAAGATATCAGCCTTACAAGTAAAGGCCAAAACAATAGTTCCAAACTTCCAAATAAACTAACAATACTGCTGAAGAAAAGATGCCCAACAAAGAAAAACAAATAACATAAACCCAGACTAATTGACTTCTATTAAGTGTGCATGCCAAAAATAATTAGGCATAATTATACAAATTGAAAATATTAGTAGCACAATTATACAAATTGAAAATATTAGTAGCACATTTAATACATTAAACATGCTTAAGACAGTATCCCATTTACTAATAAATGGTTCAAACGACAAGAAACTTGACTCAAAATAATGTGTTATGAAAAACAATATTATTAAATAAAGCTCCAAAAGATATACTGATAGAGTAAGTAAAGTGCAAGCCCCGCCCAATTCACCGCCACCTTATGTAAGTTTACTAATGCCTGTAAAATATTGTTAAATACTTTGCACTAAATGAGTCAGAAAAAAAAAATTACTTCGCACCAAATCTAAATAATTAAATGATATATAATTGCTTAATATGACTCTTGTGGATTACTATTTCAATATCAATGGACATGGAGTGTTATTCATTTACAATAGTTTTGATATTAATAATTAAGTGAAGTTCGAACCTTTTCATTTTAGTTAGAGGATTCAACGTTAACCTTTAAAATAGAAGGTAAGATTTATACTTTTTTTCTTAATACAACAAGATTTATACCTTCTCTTACGTCTTGCCTTAAACTTTTTATTTTCAATATAATTTTAGTTTGCTAGTTGTAAGCACTCTTAAGACGAGACTGCTGTGTTTAAAAGTTCTCAGTTCTTTGACCCAGTTGGATGTTTTCTAGATTTGTTTTAAGCACTTTGATATTTTGTTTAGAAACTTACTTAACTATTTAGTTTAGTTTGATCCATAGACAACCTTTTAACTAAGTTTTTTGGTTTTAGGTGTTTTAACTGCAGAAATAGATGCAGAGCTAGAGAAGGCGACGATTTCAGGAAATGTAGAAACACAAATTACAATCTGCGGCCAACAGAACCATCTCTTCAATCAAGTTTACAAATACAAAGAAATAAAAAGAACAAAAAAAATTCAAAACAGCAATGAAAATACAGAGACCATGCGAGGACAGCGTAACGTCAAATTACAAAGTACAGAACAATCACAAATTACAAACAAAAAAACAGACATGCATACGAACAATTTCAGCTAAAAAATGGGGAGATTGTGGGTACGCACATGATGGGACGAAGATTAAATTCTTGCGACCGATCGGCGAACACGAACGACCGGTCGGCGAACACGAACGGCGAAGACTGGTGAAGCGAAACGGCGACTCGGCAAACGGTGAACAACGAAGACTACTCGGCGCGGCGAAGATGAACGGCGACCGGCTACAGGCGAAGAGAATAATCGGCAGCGGAAACGGAGGAGAAATCGAAGAAATCTGCAAAAGGGGCTAAAAAGGCGTGACGGCGCACAAACTAATTGCAACGGTAGGCTAGGGTTTGTCAAATTTCATCCTCAAATTAATTAATTTTCTAAAAGAAAATAAATTAATCTCTAATTTCTAAATTTAAATTCAACTTTACTAGCATAGATTAGTGTAATGGGCATATACCTCGAAAGTTGAGAGTTCGAATCTTAAGCCCTTCTTGACCATTCTAACATGATCTCATGATCTATCCCATTCGGATGTGGTATCGATAATTACTATATTTGAAGTCATGTCCAATATATTTTTTTTTAACAGTAAAAAAAGTTTAGTGGGGAAACAAAGTTAAAAGCCAAGATTCTTGTAAAAATCATTCATATAAACAATCATGGGTCAAAATTGATAAATAGCCAATAACTTGGGTTGTAGTTTGAACTTCAAATAGGTGAAACTATGATGAATTGTCACAACCCATCTTCATTACTGATTTGTTCTTCCTTTTTATCCTTTATTTATGGGCAGTGGACCAGTAAAGCTTTATTCCTTTTTCATCCTTTAATTATGGTCCACAAGCTCTATTATTTTTTGTATGTATGTGGTAAAATTGAGATCTCACTGTAGCTTAAGCCTTATTTTCTTTTTCAAAGTTAACTTCCTGTGTTTTTTCTTTGTCATAATTACTGCTTCTGCTTCGTAGTATCTTGTATAGAATATTAGCGAAGCTTGTCTTCAAAGCGACCAAATTAAAACTTAAGCTTATGGATCGAAGTAAATTTAAAATTCGTGAGTTTTGAACTTTGCACAAATGAATAATATTAAATGAGGAGAGGAAATAAAATTACAAGGTCTGAACACCTTCTGCTATATTCAACTTAAAATCACACTTATATGGGGTGGGGGATCAAACCCACAATCTTTGTCAATTACCGCTGAGCTACGCTCGTTTTGGTGAAAATATATTCTAATTGATTCTATCTAACAGTACAATATCAAGTGATCCAAGTCGAAACAAATTAATTTTGGGTTGACTGGATATTAGCAAGAAGTAATGTAAGAAATCTCTAAAAATGATGTAAACCAAATTTACAAATTTAAGTTGGATTAATGCACAAAATCCAGCATTATATAACTCTTTCTAATGGTAATAGAAAGAGAAAATAGAGAAATAAGTTTGACGAAGGAAATTATTATATTTCAAAGAAATACAATGAATAATGAAAGGAAATGGTTTTACAATATGCCTGATGAAAGTTTATGGATTTATCAATTTTCCTTCTGATTTGTCTTCTAAATTTTTAAAATAGAAATTTTATTATATATGGCCAGAGAGGGTTGGAAACATAACTTTTTTCTGATCCATCGTTCATTTTTTTTCTTCGTTTTAAAAATACAACATTATAATGTCTTAATTAATTGAGTTATGTCCTTAATTTGACTTGTTATTATTGCTAATACTTAAGATTAATAACATTAATTAACATATTACTTTCGAGATATTATATCACGTAGGTTTACTATCAAATATAAGAGATATTAATAGATATACAAATAAAACACTATATCAAAGGAAAAACTTCTTTATTTAATCTGATACTATGATGACAAAAAAGAAGAAGAAGAAGAACTTTGATATTTTCTCTCCAAATAGATAAGAGGAAATATATATATATATATATATATATATATTTAGAAATTTTTTTCCCGATTGTTATAGGTAGGGCAGGAATGAGACATTTCAATGCAAATCAAATTTGAAGAAATTGTGTAAACTCAGACAATTGATGTGTGTAATGGTGGAGTGAACATACACCCCACATACATGTCATATTAGATTTCCAAATATCCTACTGTCCTCTATACATTAACTCTTCCTAAAACGATACGAAAGAGGAAAACCAAAATAAAGCAATATAAAAATAACACAGAACTATTACGAGAGTACAATAATTGTACTTACTATATATGATTTGTTTTCTAAATAACCTTTTAACGATAGTAGATCTCACATCATTTTTAATATAAGACTGACGTGACGAGTGGTGAATAAAAGGATCCTTTAATTTACGTGCGGTATTAGTATTTTGCGCATCAATTATTGAGTCACCACACGACAAAGATCCGTCACTCTTCACAATTTCTTTCAAATTTTGCTTTTGCTTTTGAAACCTTTCTCCCTCCACAGGCTCTCAATTATTGAGTTATGTATCACAAAAGAGGTACTGTGTAGTCTATAGTTTTACCCACTTTAAAAATTGGCTTTTCCTTTTCATGGCCTTGTTTTCCATTTTAAAAGAAAGAAAACAAAGAGACATACAAAAAAGAAAAGCATTTGACACAGTTCTTTGAGTGTGTAGACCCAATCACTTTTGTACGTCCCAGTTACATTTTAGTCCCAAGCACTGTAACCAAATTATGTTGTTTCGCACTCAAAGAATTTGTATTGTTTAGGATGACCCATCACATTTCATAGTTGATTATGGTGGCAATTCACAACCTCTTTTATCACAGCGACAGTRAATATATGAACAATATATTTCAATTTAGATATAAATCTTTTTTTAATTTAAGATTTTGATTAAGTAACATTGTCAGGAGTGTCACATTTTAAGGTTATTTTTTTTGGATAATCATCTTACCAGTCTTCTTAAAAATGGTTTTTTAACCAATCCGACTTTCTAAAAAGAATTTTTCTGAAAATCTAATTCAAATAATATAATATAAACTAAATATAATTTAAATAATATAATCAATCTAACAAAAGCGAAATGGAATAATTCGGCCAAGAAAGAAAAGCAGGACATGTAAAATAAACTTATCTGACAGTACAGCAATATTTGACAGTTCGAGTTGCAATATTTGAGTGTGTAAAACCAAGACTTGTAAATGCCAAATTTTGCTAAATATTGAAAATTGAATAATATGTTACACTACAAATATTGGCCCAACCTCAGCATACTTGATCACTTCATCTCTCTCGAGCCTTTCTCCAAATCTCTTACCAACTCAACTTCTCACAGCTCACTCGTTTTTCATCAATGGCCGACTCTATTCTCTTCAACCTTGCTGGAACCCTTATAAATAAATTGGGCWCTTACGTCCACCAAGAGCTTGGATTGCTCTTGGGTGTCAATGGTGAGCTTGACAAACTCAAAGGCACTGTTTCTGCCATTGWAAAGGTGCTTCTCGATGCAGAGGAGCGGTCGTCCAAGAGCCATGCACTGGAGGACTGGCTTTCAAAGCTTAAGGGTGTCTTCTACGAGATTGATGACCTGATTGACGAGTTCAATTATGAAGCTTTGAGGAGACAAGTTATGACGAGAAATAGAAGAAAAACCAAACAGGTCCGTATTTTCTTCTCCAAATCTAATCAGATTGCATTTAGTCACAAAATGGGTGGCAAAATCAAGGAAATCAGGGAGAAGCTAAAAGTTATTAACGATGAYAAAACTCAATTTAAGCTCTCTGAGTGTGTCATAAATAAGTCAGATGTTGATATCTTGAGAAACACACGTGACCCTGGCGATTATATACCTGAAGAGGAAGTGATTGGTAGAAATTATGAGAAGAAAGAAATCATTGATCTGCTATTAAATTCCAACGCTAGAGAAGATATTGCAGTTGTTGCTATAGTTGGAATGGGAGGATTAGGAAAGACTACCATTGCTCAATCGGTCTACAGCGATAAGATGATGACAAAACATTTTGAATTGAGGTTATGGGTGTGTATTTCCGAAGAATTTGAGGTAAAAGTTATCATCCAAAATATAATAGAGTATGCAACTAGGAGGAAAGAGTCATTCCCTCAAATGGCTCTCTTGCAAACTGAACTTAGAAAGTTAGTGGATGGAAAGAAATATTTGCTCGTCATGGATGATGTGTGGAATGAGGATCATGAGAAATGGAATACTTTGAAAAGATTGCTAATGGGTGGTGCGAAGGGGAGTAGGATTTTGATCACAACACGTACCCACCAAGTTGCAAATACTTTTGACTCAACTTCATTSTATTCTTTGGAAGAACTGAATGACAAAAACTCTTGGTTATTGTTTGAGAAAATGGCATTTGGAGGCGAGGGAGCAGAAAAAGATCCTGAGAATTCAAAGTTGGTTGAAATTGGTAAGGAGATTGTGACAAAGTTAAAAGGTATTCCTCTCGCCATAAGAACTGTRGGGCGACTTTTATATTATAAAAAGTCAACAGAATTTTGGTCGTCTTTCAAGGATAAAAAACTTTACCAAATTATAGAACAAGGAAGTCTAAAGGATATGCTATCAATACTTATGCTCAGTTATAACCACCTCCCTTATAATTTGAAGCAATGTTTTCTATATTGTGCTATGTTCCCCAAAGATTATGAGATTCAAAAAAATGAAGTAATAATGCAATGGATAGCACAAAGTTTCATTCACCCAAATGACAAATATAAGTTCATTGATATTGGTGAGGAATATTTTATGGAGCTATTATCAAGGTCATTCTTTCAAGACGTCACAAAAAATGATTTGGGAGACATAATTACATGTAAGATGCATGACTTGATGCATGATCTTGCTTGTTCGATAGTAGAAAATGAATGTGTCCATGATGTGAATGCTCGCACGCTCAGCAAAAGAACTCATCATGTTTCATTTGACTTAATGTCATGGGAAGAATTGGAAAGACTTCCGGAAACATTATCTGAGGCAAAGAATTTACGGACATGTTTTTTCCATTATAATCAAAGAAGAACAGATAACAATTTCAATGAAATCTTTGAAAGTGTCTTTTATAATCTTCTGAGATTAAGGACGTTGGACTTGCAGTTGCTCAGTTTTGATAAACAAAATGTAAAGTTTCTTAAATGTATTAGCAAGTTGAAACATTTGAGATATCTAGAAATTCAGATGTATACAAAAACTGAATTTTTTATGAATCATATTACTGGGTTGTACAATTTGGAAGTATTTATCCTCCGATGTACAAGGTTAAAAGAATTGCCGAGAGATATCAAAAATTGGAACGAACTTAAGCATGTTTATCTTTATAAGAATGAGATTATAGAATTCCTTCCGAATTCTTTTGCTGAGTTGAATAATTTGGAAACACTTGTCCTTCATCAATGCACAAAATTAAAAGAATTATTGGGAGATGTCAGAAATTGGATTAATCTTAGGTATCTTGATCTTTCAAGTAGTGGTGTAGAATTCCTTCCGGATTCTATTACTCAATTAAAAAATTTGGAAACACTTCTCCTTCGTTTTTGTTCAAAATTACAAGAATTACCGAGAGATACTAAAAACTTGATCAACCTCAAGCATGTTGATTTGTATGGATGTTGGGCTTTGACTCATATGCCTAAAGGAYTAGGTGAGCTGACTGATCTTCAAATATTGAATTTTTTTGTATTAGAAAAAGATAACAATGGTGGTGGATTAAGCGAGTTGAATGAACTTAACAAGTTGAGGGGATCCTTAACTATCAACCGATTGAATTTTTGTACAACTTCTGATCTACCAACAAATGCTAAGTTCTTGCTGCTGAAGTCGAGTCTTCAAGAGTTGGTGTTAGAGTGGGAGTGGGACAACGATTCAGTTAATGAGCCTACAATTGGTGACTTGGACGATGACTGCGAAAGTGTTTTAGAATGCTTACATCCACATTCAAATCTTCGAAACTTATGTATAGATAAATACAGAGGAGTGAAGTTATGTAATTGGGTATCATCCAATTTCCTTGGTTGTTTGGTTACGATAAAGCTTTCAGGTTGCAAAAGATTGCAGCATCTCCCTCAATTTGATCAGTTTCCCAATCTCAAGCGTCTTTCTCTTAGAGAATTATCCGGTATTGAGTATATTTTCAACGATGATTATCGTTGTTCATCAACTTTGTTTCCATCCCTCGAGGAATTAAGCATTTTTTGCATGCCTAACTTGAAGAGATGGTGGAAGAAGGGTCAAACCTCAAAAGCAACCTCCTCTCAAAATGTCTTGTTTCCAATAATATTTCCTTGCCTTTCTAAATTAGAAATTTGGGGTTGTCCTCTGCTTGCTTCAATTACATGTCATGCACCTCCAAAGTCATTGGAAATGAATGATCCAATCGAATTTCATTTTGATCCGGATGAATCAGATGTTGTATCATGGAAATGTTTTGAAAGTCTCTCATATCTACGGCTTACCCACATTGACGAATGGGGTTTTTTGTCCAATTGGTTGCAACATGTGACAACTCTTCAAGAGCTCACTCTAGAATACTGTCAAAATTTAACAAATCTACCAGAATCGATCAGCAACTTCACATCACTCTCAAAATTGGAGATTCTGAAATGTACAGATTTAATGAGTCTACCAGAATCAATTGGCAATCTTACTTCACTTACAGAATTGACTATTGATTTTTGTCCAAGCCTAACTTCATTGCCGGAAGGGATTCGCCACCTTCACTGTTTACAATCATTGACAACTTGGGACTGTCCCATTTTGGAGAAAATGTACAAGAAAGAAACAGGAGAAGATTGGCTTAAAATTGCACATATCCGCCAAGTAAACCATTGGGAAAGCCCTACATAATCCTCAACAGGTATGCAATTCCAATGCAATTTTCTCATTATTTTTATATGCTTTTTAGACGCAGTCATTTCCTCCATCAAACATTTCAATTTATTTCTCTACCTTTCTCTTTCAACCGCCATTACAATTTACATCTCACCCCACTCTAAAAGCAGAAGAAGGATGCCACCTAAGAAC